ACGGAAGATTTTTAGTAGAGGGGCAGAGACGGAGGGCGTTTGGCCCCCCCTGCGTACAAGCGTAATCGTGGTGGGGGGTGCGCGAAGCATGCCCCAGTTGTTTCGGACCTGGAAAGCCAATTCTCACCCTATCTGGCCCTCCCCATGTGTGTGCGTAATATTATGGCTTGGGAGCAGAATACCCACTTCTTGCCCTACGTGGCCCTCCCCACGCGACTGCGTCGTGATGATCTTGGTGGGGCCACGCGCCCCCCAGCTTTGGGAACAGAGAGGCCACTTTGTGCACTTTGTGCCCCCCCACCCTAAATGATGTTCATGGCGGGGGCAAACCGCCCACTTCCTGCCCTATCCGGCCCTCCCCGCTCGTGCGCGTGATCATGGCGGCCTGCTTCACTGGGGGCGGTACCTGATTGGCTCCATGGTGTTCTCCGGGACATGCACGGAAATGCTTATGGTCGTCGGGTTTTCGGCCTCGCTTCTTTTGCCGGATGCAGTTTTTTTCGGGGCCGAACCAAATTGAAATGACGATTTTTTCAAGTCATCCTTGACTTTTCTTTCCCCCCTTCTCTTTATGGAGTGCATGTCCGGACATGTTCGCCAACACATAACCCCACAACGGATGCACGATTCTGCCAGACTTCCCGTAAACTTTTCACTCCCACACCGCGGCGTGATCTGAGTCGCTAGGCACAGAAGCTGCTTGGCCTTTTCTATGTTTGTTTCGTCCCTTTTTTTTTTTTTTCAATGTATTTATTTTTTTCCCCGGCCCGTCCCCTTATCCCTTTGTGTGTGGAAGGGACGGAGATGGGACGGACTTTTGAGGTGTCGAATTTTGTGGGGGCAGCAGATACCGCGCACTGCCACTCGGGCGTAGGAACAGCCCCGAGAAAAGGGGGTCTCCCAGGATTGAAGGTCCAGAGGCGTCTTATTGAGAGCGGGAAGGGATGAGGTCCCGAGGGGGACATCGCCATTGGGGTTTGTTCAGTCAGCTTGCTGGAAAGGGACATGTGCAAGTCCCTCGGCGGATGGCTCAGTGAGCACCCTCCGGATGTGCCAAAAAGTCGGTGGTTGGCGGTTCGGAGTCCCGTTTGCACTCTTATAGGGGCCTGCGTGCTTAGCAGCCCCCTTGCAGTCGACGAAGGCGACGTTCCGGGCGTGGGTTTTGGGACCTTGTACTCGAGTTACGRGGGACTCTCTGCACACGCTTTGGGTGGTTTCCAGTTTGCGAGGGATGGGCGAGACGTGCTTTGGTGGTCGAGCGAACATTTTTGCGGCGCCGTTCGGGTCCATGGTCGTCTCTCTCGGAGGGCTTGTTTCATGACATCTCGGTCGTCATTGGAGGCGGTCGCAACTCTCGGGGCTTTCCTATGCCGTGGTGGCAGGTTGTGGATAGTGGTGTTCACCCTCACTCATCGTCTTGCGATGATTGGCGCCTGATCGCCGACGGCGGTCCGGTTGGCGGTCGTTTGCAGGGTGTGGAGGCGGAGGTGCCCGTCACCAGCTCTCAGCTTCGGCACCATCGTCCCGTAGGTTACGGGGAGAGCTGTTGCGGCTCTGTTGTGGTGTCGTCTTCGTGTCCGNGTCCCGTAGGTTACGGGGAGAGCTGTTGCGGCTCTGTTGTGGTGTCGTCTTCGTGTCCGCACTCACAACGGCGCGTTCCGTTTGTGTTGAGGGGGTGTCACGACTTGGTGAGGACGCTCTGCGCTCTTCACCATCCGAGCGGCGCCATTGAGCGGTCGCGCAGGTGGCCTCGGCCATGCACGCGCTGCTTACCGTATGCAAAGGCGGAGACTTGTGGGATGCGTGATGCACCCTCCGACGGYGTCGCGAGGCTGGGCCCGTCATCCGCCCGACATTTTGGAATGCACGCTTGTGCTCGTCGTATCCCCCATCCTGTGGTCTGATTATGCTGCACACCGTGACGGATCGCGTTGCGTCGTGGTTCCGCTGCGTTTGGGTTGTGGGCTTCCAAGGCTACTGTCCTCTGTCTCCTGGGTTTCGCCTACGTCGAGTGCTGTTGGAGGTGCCCGCAGCAACCGACGGATGTGGACCCAGGGGGGAGAGGGGTTGTGTTCCTTTTGCGCCCCCGTGCACAGGTGGAGGCTTTCCGTCCGTCSGGGCGTGTTGGAAGCGTGGTGCATTCGTTTCTCTCTTCACCCGCGTTTCTCGATGGAGAGATGAGGCTGTGCACTTCGCTGTCGGTACGTTTTGGGCAGGCGGTGGCATCCGGCTGTGGGCCGAAGCTGTCGGTGGTTCCTTCGCGCGCGCCGTTGTTYGGGTAGTGTGGTTAACTTGCGATCTCTAGGTGTGGTGTGGGCGGGTGCCGTTCGCAGCCAATCTCTTGGGCGGGTGCGGCGGGCTGTGTTGGATTGTGCAGTACCTTGCCGTTGGGGATGGCCTACGGAGGGAAGTTCACTTGCAATTCAAACAGCCGGACTTCGCGGCGTCTCGGCAGCTCATTGCACTTTCCACCATTGTTCAATGTTCTTTTGGTAGGCTGTCCGGCGTGACGTGCSTACGTGCGCCTCGGCCATCGCTCCTTGCGGCTGCTCGTCACACCCKCTACCTGGTTGATCCTGCCAGTAGTCATATGCTTGTCTCAAAGACTAAGCCACGCGCATCTAAGTGTGAACACTTTGCACTGTGAAACTGCGAATGGCTCATTAAATCAGTTATCATTTATTTGGTGGTCTCCTTACCACTCGSATAACCGTGGTAATTCTAGAGCTAATACGTGCAGCATATCCCGACTTCTGGAAGGGATGCATTTATTGCATAAAAGGCCGATCCGGGCCTGCCCGTCATTGCGGCGAATCATGGTGACTTGTCGAATCGCATGGCCCTTGAGCCGGCGATGTTCCATTCAAATTTCTGCCCTATCAACTTTCGATGGTAAGATAGAGGCCTACCATGGTGGTAACGGGTGACAGAGAATAAGGGTTTGATTCCGAAGAGGGAGCCTGAGAGATGGCTACCACATCCAAGGAAGGCAGCAGGCGCGTTAATAACCCAATCCTGACATAGGGAGGTAGTGACAATAAATAACAATACTGGGCTCTTTCGAGTCCGGTAATTGGAATTTGAACAGTCATAAACTCCTTGAACGAGGATCCATTGGAGGGCAAGTCTGGTGCCAGCAGCCGCGGTAATACCAGCTCCAATAGCGTATATTTAAGTTGTTGCAGTTAAAAAGCTCGTAGTTGGATTTTGGGTGGGAGGGGTTGGTCCGCTCTTGCGGGCGTGTAC